CCTTTGTTAAAGTTTGAAATTTTTTGTCTAAAAGTATTAAGTTGATATAGTATAGTATAAAGCATAAAGTTAACTTTGTTATAGTATAAAGTATAGTATAGCATAAAGTATAAAGTGAACTTTGTTATATTTTACAGGTAATTTTAACTCTAACTTTGTTATAGTATAAAGTGAGACTGTTACGGAGCTAACATTTTCTCCTGAGTTTAGGGTACGTTAGGTAAGGTAAGGTCAGGGAGGGTAGGATTAGGTTAGGAATTAACACGACCTCTATTTAGCCCTTTATGAGGTTCCCGAAAGACTTAAAAAAAAAAAAAAATCTAAGATGGATATATGAGAGGACCGTGCTGGTTGCCATGGTGAGGCTGTGTACTACAGATGTAAAGATATTTGAGTTTACCGCGCTTTTTTTCAGTCGCCAAAGCACTAAATTTAGCAGGAATACAAGATGTTAACACCTGGCGATCCCTTTCGTTCGCCAGTTCTGGCGATTGCTCGCCTTCCTCACTCAGGTGATCGCATTACTTGTATATATATATATATATATATATATATATATATATATATATATATATATATATATATATATGCATACATGGATATGTATATGTATAATTATATATTTGTGTTTATATATATATAATATATATATATATATATATATATATATATATATATGTGTGTGTGTGTGTGTGTGTGTGTGTGTGTGTGTGTGTGTGTGTGTGTGTGTGTGTGTGTGTGTGTGTGTGTGTGTGTGTGTGTGTGTATGCAGTGATGTATATATATATATATATATAATATATATATATATATACAAATACACACACGCATACACACACACACACACACACACATACATGCACACGCACACACACACACACACACACACACACACACACACACACACATATATATATATATATATATATATATATATATATATATATAAATACACACACACACACAGACATACATACATACATACATACATATATATATATATATATAATATATAATATATATACATATTATATACATAATACACACACACACACATAAACATATACATATATATATATATATATATATATATATATATATATATATATATATATGTATACATGTTTATATGTTTATATACATACTATAAATACACCACATGGGTAGCTATATATGTGTGTAGATAACGAGATAGGTAGGATGATATATTCATTTCTATTCCAACTATCCCTGTCTGAGTGCATGCATGGAACCGTTCCGTCGTGAGCGGAAATGGGCGTGAGACAGGACGCCCTTGGGTCGGTCATCCTCGTGCTTCGGGATATGCACACCCGGTAGGTCGCCCGCCAGTCGTATTTGTATACGACTGGTATATGTATATATATATATATATATATATATATATATATATATATATATATATATATATATATATGTACATTATGTGTATGCATAAATATGCATATGTATGGATATACAAATTTGCTTATATGTGGAAAAATTCAAATCAAAATAAAACATTGAAGCGAGTAATGGCCAAAAATGGTTCAACGACAAATGTAAGAAAATGAGAGAAAAAAAGCATCTTCTTTGGAAAAGATTCAGAAGACATAGATCTCAGGTAGCGTATGAAAGACATAAAGTAGGAAGAAATTAGACTTTGAAAAGGATATAATCAACAAATATACAAGTCAACCAAAACTCTTCTATACCTACATAAATAGTAAAACTAAAAGTAGAGATCAAATTAGCGCCATCAAAGACAATAACATATATTCTAAGGAGGAAATGTGTGAAATCTTAAATGAGAAATTTCAGTCAGTGTTTGTTCAGGATCCATATTTTGATATGGCAAATACCTGTACAAACGTAAGAACATCGAAAATATCACCTTAAAAAAGAATGAAATAAAAGATCTACTAAAAGGATTAGACAAAACCAACGCAGAGGGACCAGATGAAATTTCTAACTGGGTTCTCAGGGAATGTGTCGAAGAACTATGTACCCCTTTATATTCCAAAATTCACTAAGACAAGGTAAAGTACCAAAAAGTTGGAAACTCGCAAATGTTACACCCTTATATAAGAGCGGCGACAAACAAAACCCACTAAATTATAGACCAGTTTCGTTAACCAGAAGTTTGTCATGTATTGGCTAGTTAGGCCAGTTTCGTCAACCAGTGTAGTATGCAAACTGCTAGGAAGAATCATTAGGAAGCAATGGGTTGAAATGCCTGAAAAACATGAAATGATATCAAATAAACAATTTGGTTTCAGAGAAGGAAGGTCATGTGTAACAAATCTCTGTTTTTATGAACGTGTATCAGAAATATTACAAGAAAGAGACAGCTGGGTGGATTGTGTGTACTTGGACTTTAAAAAGGCTTTTGATAAGGTGTCTCAGAGAAGACTACTATGGAAATTAGAGCACCTAGGTGGAGTGAAAGTCAAACTGCTGGCATGGGCGAAAAACTTTCTTCATGAAAGACAGATGAGCACACTAATTAGAGGGAAGCATTCTATATGGCGACGAGTAACCAGCGGAGTGCCTCAAGGATCGGTGTTGGCGCCGATTATGTTTACAATCTTCGTCAATGATTTAGAGTCAAACATAAGCCCAGGTGGTTATCTGAATATATTCGCAGATGACTCAAAAATACAAAAAAGGATAACACCGTCTCATGCCGATGCCTGCAAAGTGACATCGAGAACTTATTCATGTGGAGTTGTAAATGGAAAATGGAATTCAATACCAAAAAATGCCACGTAGGCAGATTTGGAGAAAGTAGAAATCGCCCACTATTCCAATATAAATTAGGGGACGCACTATTAAACACAGTTGATAGGGAAAAAGATCTTGGGATAATCACAGATAGAATCCTAAACCCAAATGATCATATAAATGAAAAGGTCCACAAAATGTTAGAACTGATTGCCAACATAAGGGGGCATTCGTGTATGTGGACGAAAATATGGTAAAGAAGATCATTATAACAATCATAAGACCAAATCTTGAGTACGGTGCAGAGGTATGGAATCCACACTTAAAAAAAAAAAAGATATTGACAAACTGGAGAGAGTTCAAAGAGCGGCCACAAGATGGGCACCTACTCTAAGAGATCTTAATTTCGAAGACTTACTACCTTCGAAGAAAGAAAGAAAAGGGGGACATGATTATGCTGTTTAACTGTATTACAGGAAGAGTGAAAATAGATAATGACTTTTTGATCTTGAACACAAGTAGAACGAGAGGACACAACAAAAAGCTGTAAGTATAAAGAGGTGATAATGGCATAAAATATAGTTTCCCAAACAGAACTATTGAAGCGTGGAACAGTCTCCCCAAACACGTAGTGTGTGCCAAAACTGTGCATCCATTTGTAAAGTTATATGATAATATAAATATAGCAGACGGGACCACCTGAGCTTGGCTCTTCTCCCGTATTGAAACAACTAGGTAAGAACAACTAAGTAAGAACACACACACGCGCACGCACGAACACACACACACACACACACACACACACACACACACACACACACACACACACACACACACACACGCACACACACACACACACACACACACACACACACACACACACACACACACACACACACACACACACACACACACACACACACACACACACACACACACACACACACACACACACACACACATTCACACACACACACACATATATACATATATGTTTATTGATATATGTATGTGTATATATACATAAAGTACTGTTATAATATATGTATGCATATATGCATTATATACAGATATATGCACAGAAACATACATATTTGTATATAACATATATTTATATATATATTATATATGCATATAGACACATATATACATATGTATGTATATGTAAACACACACACACACACACACACACACATATATATTGTCAAATGAATATTTGTGAATATATACCCTGCGCATAGGGGTAGGAGGGTATTTTTAAAAGGGAGGCAAAGTAGGTTAAAAAAAATATATATCTGGGGGTCCTGAGAGCCAGCGCCCCTAGGGAGAAATAGGGGGCAAAGGAACTGGATTTTAACAGCTTTAAAGAGATAAACATTCATTTCTGCACCAAAAGTGTCATGTACTTTTATAAATAATATTTAACACAATATTTATTTCAGTTTGAACACCAGACTCAGCTGCAGCTACCCTCTCAGTTGCAGAGGGTCAGTGTTCTCAACAATTGGGTAAGCAAAGAATTGCATTGTTTGTTTACAAGGGATGGCCTCGAAAGTTGAGGAGTGGGTGGGGCAGAAGTTGGGTCCCGCTCCCCTTCATTTTCGAGTGGGGGCGACCCCTCCCTATTCCTGTGATATTTAGTGCTTTTTTTTTCAGCAGTGACTACTGTTTAGATTATTTCTGTTCGATCCTTTCCCTTCCCTGACTCATACACAAACTACACAAAACGCTGCCACCAGAAGATCAAGGGAGTCTCCTATAGAAGTATCACGGTCTTAATAGATACAGATAAATGTTTATCAAGAGTGAGTAGAAAGGCGGAAAGCTGTGTCTCTTCGTAGTGTTCGTGCGTGTGTTCAGGCCTTTGGTAGCGTGGATGGTCGGGGAGAGGTGTGCGAGATTTACTTGCATTGAAGGATCAACGAAGAACTCCGTGGAAACTAATGATCGTATTACAATCTTATTATACTTATTATTATTATTATTTTTTTAAAACAAAGTTCGCGGGTGGGCAACACTAAGACTCACTGTGCGACCTTGAGATTGCAGTGTCACGTTTTTTTCTATTCATTCATACTTTTTTTCACCCCAAGATTCTATATACCTTATCACCCTTACGGCACTTATGCTTACGGTCTCCTTTTCTCTACAGAAGTTGCACATTTCCCGATCGTTCAACTATCTTCACC